GAACATGTTAGAACAACGAGCCAACACAGAGAACATGTTAGAACAACGAGCCAGCGAAGAGAACATGTTAGAGCAACGAGCCAGCACAGAGAACATGTTAGAACAATGAGCCAGCGCAGAGAACATGCTAGAACAACGAGCCAGCGAAGAGAACATGTTAGAACAACGAGCCAGGGCAGAGAACATGTTAGAACAACGAGCCAGCACAGAGAACATGTTAGAACAACGAGCCAGCGCAGAGAACATGTTAGAACAACAGAACAACGAGCCAGCGAAGAGAACATGTTAGAACAACGAGCCAGGGCAGAGAACATGTTAGAACAACGAGCCAGCACAGAGAACATGTTAGAACAACGAGCCAGCGCAGAGAACATGTTAGAACAACGAGCCAGCGCAGAGAACATGTTAGAACAACGAGCCAGCGCAGAGAACATGTTAGAACAACGAGCCAGCGCAGAGAACATGTTAGAACAACGAGCCAGGGCAGGGAACATGTTAGAACAACGAGCAAGGGCATAGAACATGTTAGGACAACGAGCCAGGGCAGAGAACATGTTAGAACAACGAGCCAGGGTAGAGAACATGTTAGAACAACGAGCCAGGGCAGAGAACATGTTAGAACAACGAGCCAACACAGAGAACATGTTAGAACAACGAGCCAGCGCAGAGAACATGTTAGAACAACGAGCCAGGGCAGAGAACATGTTAGAACAACGAGCCAGGGCAGAGAACATGTTAGAACAACGAGCCAGGGCAGAGAACATGTTAGAACAACGAGCCAGCGCAGAGAACATGTTAGAACAACGAGCCAGGGCAGAGAACATGTTAGAACAACGAGCCAGCTCAGAGAACATGTTAGAACAACGAGCCAACACAGAGAACATGTTAGAACAACGAGCCAGCTCAGAGAACATGTTAGAACAACGAGCCAGCACAGAGAACATGTTAGAACAATGAGCCAGCGCAGAGAACATGCTAGAACAACGAGCCAGCGAAGAGAACATGTTAGAACAACGAGCCAGCACAGAGAACATGTTAGAACAACGAGCCAGCGCAGAGAACATGTTAGAACAACCAGCCAGCGCAGAGAACATGTTAGAACAACGAGCCAGCGCAGAGAACATGTTAGAACAACGAGCCAGCGCAGAGAACATGTTAGAACAACGAGCCAGCGCAGAGAACATGTTAGAACAACGAGCCAGCGCAGAGAACATGTTAGAACAACGAGCCAGCGCAGAGAACATGTTAGAACAACGAGCCAGCGCAGAGAACATGTTAGAACAACGAGCCAGCGCAGAGAACATGTTAGAACAACGAGCCAGCGCAGAGAACATGTTAGAACAACGAGCCAGCGCAGAGAACATGTTAGAACAACGAGCCAGCGCAGAGAACATGTTAGAACAACGAGCCAGCGCAGAGAACATGTTAGAACAACGAGCCAGCGCAGAGAACATGTTAGAACAACGAGCCAGCGCAGAGAACATGTTAGAACAACGAGCCAGCGCAGAGAACATGTTAGAACAACGAGCCAGCGCAGAGAACATGTTAGAACAACGAGCCAGCGCAGAGAACATGTTAGAACAACGAGCCAGCGCAGAGAACATGTTAGAACAACGAGCCAGCGCAGAGAACATGTTAGAACAACGAGCCAGCGCAGAGAACATGTTAGAACAACGAGCCAGCGAAGAGAACATGTTAGAACAACGAGCCAGGGCAGAGAACATGTTAGAACAACGAGCCAGCACAGAGAACATGTTAGAACAACGAGCCAGCGCAGAGAACATGTTAGAACAACGAGCCAGCGCAGAGAACATGTTAGAACAACGAGCCAGCGCAGAGAACATGTTAGAACAACGAGCCAGCGCAGAGAACATGTTAGAACAACGAGCCAGGGCAGGGAACATGTTAGAACAACGAGCAAGGGCATAGAACATGTTAGGACAACGAGCCAGGGCAGAGAACATGTTAGAACAACGAGCCAGGGTAGAGAACATGTTAGAACAACGAGCCAGGGCAGAGAACATGTTAGAACAACGAGCCAACACAGAGAACATGTTAGAACAACGAGCCAGCGCAGAGAACATGTTAGAACAACGAGCCAGGGCAGAGAACATGTTAGAACAACGAGCCAGGGCAGAGAACATGTTAGAACAACGAGCCAGGGCAGAGAACATGTTTGAATAACGCAGAGATAAAAACAGATGACTTTTTACAAAGTTTATGCAATCACGAGGACAAAAAATGATCAATGGGAGACAACAGGCATTTACAAGAGTTGACTAAATAAACCTTTTCGTACACGTCATCTTTAATTGATACCCAGTGCATAGTAGCGGAAGTTATAGTTTTTAAAACATTTCCTTAAAAATTCATGATACTTTTTTTTATTACAAGTCAATTAAAAACAAATTTTATAATTAATTTTAGCATATCAGAAAGAAAGGTAGTTAAAAAAACATTAGACTACATAGATGTCAACATCTGTTATTGGCATATGAACATATTTGCTTATTCGCCATGTACAAATATGCGGAAATGAATAATGAGAATCCTGGAAAGCCGGGGTCATGTCATGGAGAAAGAAAAAGTGTGGGAGCTCACCCTAGATAACCCCCCACACCACCCTCAAAAATAAACTTTTTCTTTGCAAATATTGTGCACAATATATTAAAAAGTAAGCATCCGGTTTACACGTGAATTAAAAAGTAGGTTACCGGTTTACAGGTGTATTAAAAAGTAGGTTACCGGTTTACAGGTGTATTAAAAAGTAGGTTACCGGCTTACAGGTGTATTAAAAAGTAGGTTACCGGTTTACACGTGTATTAAAAAGTAGGTTACCGGTTTACAGGTGCATTAAAAAGTAGGTTACCGGCTTACAGGTGCATTAAAAAGTAGGTTACCGGCTTACAGGGTATTAAAAATTAGGTTACCGGCTTACATATGTATTAAAAAGTAGGTTACCGGTTTACAGGTGTATTAAAAAGTAGGTTACCGGTTTACAGGTGTATTAAAAAGTAGGTTACCGGTTTACAGATGTATTAAAAAGTAGGTTACCGGTTTACACGTGTATTAAAAAGTAGGTTACATGTTTACACGTGTATTAAAAAGTAGGCTACCGGTTCACACGTGCATTAAAAAGTAGCCTACCGGTTTACACGTGTATTAAAAAGTAGCCTACCGGTTTACACGTGTATTAAAAAGTAGGTTACCGGTTTACACGTGTATTGAAAAGTAGGTTACCGGTTTAAACGTGTATTGAAAAGTAGGTTACCGGTTCAAGCGTATATTAAAAAGTAGGCTACTGGTTTACACGTGTATTAAACGAAGAATAAAACAAATGTCACTAAATAGTTGAGCATGGACATCTTCCTAATATCCCTTTCACACCGCTCACAACGGCTTACCCAAGGGAACCGTCTTGCATTACTGCTAGCCACAACGGCATTGCTTTTCTGGAAAAAGTACAGGGACGTAGTTCCCACGCGTCCCTGCAGACCTGGAACCCTGCTGAGAAGGCCATTTTTTGCATGTGATTCTATACATCGTCTGGACATATTTGACTGCCTAAGATATGGCAAAAAACAATGTTTTCTCGCGTCTGTTCCTCTAGCCCAAGTCGCAGTGAGCTGAATCAGGTCCATGGAGACCCTATGACCCATGAGCCCCAGTCGCAGTGAGCTGATTCAGGTCCATGGAGACCCTATGACCCATGAGCCCCAGTCGCAGTGAGCTGATTGAGGTCCATGGAGACCCTATGACCCCTGAGCCCTAGTCGCAGTGAGCTGAATCAGTCCATGGACACCCTTCTACCCACGAGGCCCAGTCGCAGTGAGCTGATTCAGGTCCATGGAGACACCCATGAGCCCAAGTCGCAGTGAGCTGAATCAGTCCATGGAGACCCTATGACCCATGAGCCCAAGTCGCAGTGAGCTGATTCAGGTCCATGGAGACCCTATGACCCATGAGCCCCAGTCGCAGTGAGCTGATTCAGGTCCATGGAGACCCTATGACCCATGAGCCCCAGTCGCAGTGAGCCGTGCCAAGTCCATGGACCCTATAACCCATCGATACATTCATAACTGGGGCTTTGATTTGTAGCGACATAAGTTTCTCTGAAGTCAGACATCTGATAGAGAACTAATAAGTCCTCGATTTTGCTTAGAGAACTCACTGAACGGCTGTTTGAAATAATTTATTATAAGTGTCTTGTGTTCAAATTGTTTTATTTTTGTGCTTAAAATGTATAATGCAATCAAAAAGACATTTCCATTTATTTGGATCAATAAAAGAATCTTATCTTATCTTGTAAATTATTGGAAATAATATTTAAATACTTAGTTTATTCTTAAAATACGAGGAATTATTACAAAATAAGTTAATTCTATCAAAGTATGGGGGAAAAAAAACATTGAGTTTTTTTGTTGTTGTTGTAACTTTATCTTAGACCTAGCCATTGTTTTTATGTACGTTTGAAAATAAATATTCTGGTAAGATCTGTATTTGTTGGCATCCGTCCGACACAATGTGGCGATGTGACTTCGCAGGACGAAATCCAATCTAAATTCAGAGTTGCCTTCTCTTTTTTTGGGGGGGGGGGGGGGGGGGGAGGANAGAGATGTTTTTGCTTGACTATGGTATTGAGCTCCAGACCACCAACTTCAGATTTGCTTAGTTTAGACCATTCGGCCATCCAGCACCCAATTATTAGAAAATGAACGTGTGAATTTTTTAAATAAATGAAATGAAGAAATGAATAGAATATAATCATTTCAAAACTTAAATGTTAATGGCTCATCTCTTCTTATAATAATTTTTTTATCACATCGCCTGAAGGTTTATGGTGTACACAAAAAAAAAACAACAGCTTTGAATGAATATCTCAAACCAGAAACAAATACATTGAACATCCAAATGATAAGTTGGTTTAATCTATCAACACAAATGGCATCGCGAAATGACAATCATATTATCAACACAACTGAATTGCAACGTTTATGAAAGTGTTTATTTCAAATGCGTCTCGCGTCATTTTTCTGCCACTTATGATGAGGGTTGACATTATAAAAGCTTAACTAATGAGATAGTGGTATTTCTTTCCATAAAGCATCATCCAGTCGTCATAAATCTTCTCATCCGCCTTGACTGCCGCCTTATGTTTGTTGGCCGCTGATTTAGACAGTAAAACAAAGACAGTTAGTGTTACTAAATAAAATTTAACCGTCCAGACTACCGGAAAAATCAATTATAAATATTATCCCTCATTCGAACCATTGAGGATGTCATTCAAACACACTGTCAGTAATGGGATTTATTACTTACAATGAAATGTAGTTACATTTTGCCTCATTTTGGTACCAACCAAAAATATCCTCCTACTTATAAATAATAATAATTTAAAGAAAATTAGTCCACAACTTCAGCAACCAGTGAATTAATTAGGAATGGGGGGATTTCATGATATGCAAGATTTCACTCCCATAATGCACTGATCTCTTCCTAAATTAGAATGCCCCTTTCAGAAAAGGCTTTACACAAAGCCTTTTGAGCTACCATTTGACCAGATAGATACATTTTATTTAATTAATGTATGTTAATTTTTTAAAGTTCATGATATGTTTGTTAAATTGTATTTACAGCATGGTGAGCCCAGCCCTAGTCTGGGGTACCGCGCTACATAAAACCACCACTAATAATAATAGGGCATGAGAGCAAGGTGTGCATCACGTTCATACTACACAGTTAGATAAGGGATACATTTTCGTTTCTCAATGGCCCCTAGTCAAGGTAAATGGCTCTTAGTCAAGGTAATCAAGGGAAGAGCATTCCATTCACGCACACACATTATGGAAAACTCATTTCAATAATCGATCACAATTCTCGGGCTGTGTTAATAAAAATCTTGTTCTTTTATAAATATGGCTATAGAAACAGCTGCGTTGGTGGAAACAAGCTTCCTAAAGGAACAGTTGAGGCGACAACACTTGACACATTTGCGTCTATTGCCTCAGGCCTTCCAACCCCCATTTCCCGTTGTAGCCCTTGAAACCAGTGAAATATCCTCTTCAATACCAGGCACACAAACATTGCGAATCCGCTCTACATACATAGGAGCCAGAATGATCAATACATTTATCGTGTGCCCTTAATATATAGAAGAAGAAGAAATGTTATTTTACATCGTCTGGTAAAGAAAAAAAAAATTACTAAAGGAATTTTGTCTATTTACATTTTCTTGACCAAATCATTGACATACTCCAGTCTCCAATAGTAAGAATGACACGTAAAACAATTGAAACTACCATATATGTTGAAGGTCTCCTCTTCAAATATTTGTGGGAAAGGAGTGGGTGTAGCATCATAATCTGTCACGTTCTTCATATTTCCTGGGCCGCCTCGGAGGTCCAAAAACGCTGGATGAGTTCTACCTTCTGCCCTGTAGTCCCGTATCTGATAGTCCTTTGAAATTGTTATATTTATTTGATCAATTGAAAAAAAAATCATCAAATAATGGATACAAAATATTGAATGTAAACTGAAGAAGTTATCTATATTGACTGACGTAACAGCATTGGATTCCGCTTTCGATTCCCTGTAAAACTTACCATAAAAGAAACCATGCATTTAACGAAAAATTTAAAATAAAACGCATTGAAATCACTTTCCTGGCAAACCACTTTCCTGGCAAAGCTTTCAAATAAATAAATAACTGATAATAATTAAGACGTGTGCATTACAGCTGTGCATTGGCGTAAGACAAACATCTATTCAATTGCTTTGAGGTTTCTGGTTTCTCTTTTTCAGACACGTCAACCGAACAGGTGGAAATTGTCTATTTGTCATCGCCTTGTCCAGACTAAATCATAGGTAAATTGTGATGCCATTTTTTTAGGGCTAAATAAATAAGACACAATAGAATCTCTTACCCATATTAGTATTAAGTACCTTTTTGTACGGGTAGTTTGTGACTGGACTTGAAAACGGTACTCCTGCAGTTTTGCGTGCACGTTCGTAAGCATTCATTGGCCAATGAAACATCCATGGGTATGTTGGCAAGGCTTGGAGATCGCCGTGGAGGTATCTAGGGAGCTTCACAATCCCATGGATGGGATGTACTGTTGCAGATGACTTCATTTTCTTGTAAATTCAACCAATCTTTTTTAATGTTTCATTTCATAGATTATAATTCTTGTCATAGCTGATATAACGTGCATCATTTGTTTTCTAGGAGCAAATTGGGGGGGGGGGGGGGGTGTCCTCAGGGTTTCCCGGTACACTCAAACCAGGTTGGCACACATGACTTCATTACACATGACTTCATTACACATGACTTCATTACACATGACTTCATTCCACTAAGTGGGATCTCGAGGTCAGCTTTGCCGATTTTTTACCAGCAAACTCCGACGGTCCCATTGTGCTCAGACCACCGTGTCGACCATGAGTTCAGTGAGGCCAGCTGGGAATGTTGTCGTCTGCTACGCCGATGTTATTGTCAGCGAACTCAAACTTAACGCACCCCAACTAAACATTCTGTAGAAAAGAATTGATGCATAAACCGAAATGAGTTTTTCGAATATTTATTCATCTCGTTTCTAAAAAATGATACACCAATGAGATTATTTTGGAAACTAAATGAAAACAAAGGTATTATAAAGTATAGTTATTATAGCAGTACTTATAGGCTAATAAAATATATTTTCATATGAAGTTTGAAAGTCTTTATAGATAGCGTACCCCAGGGCTGATGGTCGTGGTAGGGTGTTGTTTCTTTGTGTTGCTTTGTTTGTTTGTTTCGTTCTTTGTTTGTTTAACACCTAGCGACGGAAGTAGTTTCGTTAATGCGTCATTTAAAATTTAATTTTTACTTTAAAAAAAGGATTCTATAGTTTTCACAAATCAAAAAATAATAATGATAACTAATCGACCCGCGACGTAGCATACGTCGCAGAATTGCTCATGAACTATATTAATATTCTCATGTCCAAACCACTTTTAAACCGAATATTTTTTACACAATACTTAAATTAAGACGATTTCATTTCCGAAAAGAAAATATTAAGCACCAAACGCAATATTTATACAGATAGATAGATTCAGGAATCCACTTGCAAAACCAGCTCAATAACTTCCGTTTCGATTTTGAGAAAAAGCTGTTTTTGTACATTAACTTTATATAGCGAGCATATCATTTCTATTTTTGTTATGGTGACATATTAGATTTAAATGAAGCTTGTGATTTATTAAATACATAAATTAATACAGATTGACACTTAACAAACCAGTTAAAATAGATCTTTGTTTTCAAATATAGCCTAACTTTTCAATGAATTTCAATTTCCATTTTTTCATATTGAGTTTATTGATATAACTTATCCGATGAACTAAAACATGTAGAGATAGTAATAATGATAATAATAAAAACTGTGTGCTGAGGTTGGAGGGTGAGGGAGATGTTCAGATGTTAAAATGGGCATAGCCATTGGAGTGGGAAGGGTCAGAAAAATTGATCCAGCGAGGGGACATTTCAGGGCGATATGACATCTATCAGTGCGTAAATTATGTAATCATGCACCCGGTACCATTCATTATTTGAAATCACTCCGATTGTGTCGCATCACAGGGTAATCTTTTGGCCCCATCTTACTTTTCCCCCCGTGCTGTCACATTGATTGGCATGGAAAGTGGGGGGGGGGGGCGTAAAACAGCAATCGAGGGGGTCAGCTTGCCCCGAGGGACTGCCAGGTGGGTGCTGGGGGGGGTCATTGGGTCCTCTTCCAAAAAAGTTTGAATTTTTAATAATGCAGGCATTCATTTTAGCATATATGTTGTTACATTGATTGGCATTGAAAGAGGGGGGGGGGGGCGTAAAACAGCAATCGAGGGCGTCAGCTTGCCCCGAGTGACTGCCAGGTGGGAGCTGGGAGGGGTCATTGGGTCCTCTTCCAAAAAAGTTTGAATATTTAATAATGCAGGCATTCATTTTAGCATATACCTAAATTTTATTTTGCATCATTTCGTAATTAATCGGAGAGCAAACAAAAAATTAGGTGTTTTCAACCTGGTTGCATTTATACAAAGGCTATATTGAAAGTTGTTACAAATTAGTTTAGTTATTTTAATGAAACTATTTATCATTGAAACTACTTCAATAATAACTATTTTTACATATATATACATATTTATATCCCTAAAAAATGGATCCATCACAAAAAGGAAGTATTGGCCTACTAATTATCTTCCTAAATCTTTAATAATAAATGTTACCAGACACAAACAGAGAAAAAATACTGTTTTGTAGAAAAATACTTAATGACAACTTTTATGTAATAGTTTAGCAATTGCAAAAAGTATACTGATTGCCGTAATTTTAAAAGAAAACACATTATGATAGTGTACAGTTAACACTTAGTCCTAGTTTAAATTATGACAGAGTACAGTTAACACTTATTCCTAGTTTAAAAGTTGATCTTATTTAATAAAGATATGGATTTTGAAAACATGTTCCCGATGTTCAATATTTAGCAAGAACTAACTCCAAATATAGATCTTGATTCTAAAAGGGGCCACCTGAGTCGAAAAGGTTGGGTACTGTGGGGGCGTCCATTAATTAAGTCAACAAAATAGGGGGAGGGGGTTGGACAATTATTGACAAGGATTATTTAATAAAGATAGGGATTTTGAAAACATGTTCACGATGTTCAATATTTAGCAAGAACTAACCCCAAATATAGATCTTGATTCTAAAAGGGGCCACGTGAGTCGAAAAGGTGGGGTACGGTGGGGGCGTCCATTAATTAAGTCAACAAAATAGGGGGAGGGGGTTGGACAGTTATTGACAAGGGGGAGGGGGGGAGTTTAGATTAGTTGACGTCAACAATCATGTATTTTCTATTCAAATTTTAATCTTAAAACTTGACTGGTTCTTACATTATTTTAATCGATTTAATGAGTGTAAACAGTTAAATATTTTTATGCTTTTAACAATATAAGAGTTTAATGTTTGTCTGTCTGTGCGATGCAGATTGTTGGTCAGAATGTTGGTCAAACTTTGTTAGTGCAAGAGAAATCAAAAGTTGGCATCTCTTCACCTGTCATTTTTCTCTTAATCCGCTCCCTAGAATGATTAACACATCATTGCACAAAGTGTTCAATTTAAAAATAAAAAAAAACACACACACACTCACCGCTGTTCTAAAAACAACTACACCAACTCAAAGACAGAGAGAGCTTAATGGGGCTTAATGCTCATCGACAATATTTCTATTTTAAGTGCTGAATGGGTAGATAAGAATGATGTTGAGTTGTCTGGTGGATCAGTTCCACAAGGTGGGAATGATAAATCAGCTACTATACACTATACCCATCAGGGGCGTGATTTCAGGTTTTTTTCAAGGAAAGGGGAAAAAAGAAAAAGTGGGGGGGGGGGGGGGGGGGGGACCAAAACTTTGTCGGCTTGTTAGTTGTTTATTTCTGGAGGCGCCACAATACACATGAATTTAAATAAAACAAGCAAAATCAGGCGAAATCAGGCGGGGCGCTAATGCCCCCCCCCCCTGTTCTTCCCAAAGGATGTCCCTGATGCCCATTGTTACGATAGAGCAACACCTGGCTAATCCTTGGGAAGATGAAACCCTTGAAAACTACTTTGGAATTTCTGGTTCGGTTTTGGCTTGGTTTAGGTCCTACCTCTCTGATAGAACGCAAATGGTCTCTGTCGATGGCTGTCTCTCCGGCAGTGCTGATTTGGTGTACGGAGTGCCACAGGGGTCCGTTTTGGGTCCGGTTCTATTCATAATGTATACCAGACCACTACTCCTCTTGCTCGGGAGGCATGCTGTTGAGAACCAGTCATTTGCAGATGATACACAGCTATACATGCATACCCATCCATCTCTTGTCGATTCCGCTGTCCAGACTTTGCGGGGGTGCATTGATGATGTCAAGTCTTGGATGACACTCAGCAAGTTGAAGCTTAATGATGACAAAACAGAAGCACTCCTCATTTACAATCACAAATCATCCTCTACCTCAACTCTTCCCACCTCATTTCAAGTAGGTAACTCCGACATACAGTTTACACCCTCTGCTAGGAATCTTGGTTATATTCTTTCTAACAACATGTCTCTCGATAAACATATCTCTCACATTTGTCGTTCGGCATACACCGCCATCCGTCAGATCAGCTCCATCCGCCACTACCTGACAGTTAGCGCAACAAAAACTCTAGTCTGTGCTCTTGTTCTCTCTCGTCTTGACTATTGCAACTCACTTCTGTCAGGTTCACCGAAACATTTTATAGAAAAACTGCAGAAAGTTCAAAACTCTGCTGCTAGGCTTGTTCTTAAGGCAAAAAAACGCGATCACGTCACTCCACTACTCCACTCACTACATTGGCTCCCTATACAGGCACGCATTGACTACAAGCTGTCTCTTCTCTGTCACAACTTTTTCTCGGATTCCTGCCCTTCCTATCTAACTGAACTTCTTTCTGTCTATTCACCCCTTCGACAACTTCGCTCCTCCGCAGACTCGCGTATTCTGTCCGTTCCCAAGACACGCACTAAATTATATGGTGAACGATCTTTCTCTTTCTGCGCCCCCAAACAATGGAATTCTTTGCCACTACACATCCGCAATATAACAACCACACAGGCCTTCAAAACTGCACTCAAAACACATCTATTTAAACTATACTACTCTGACTGATTCTCCTCCTATAAACCGATAAACGTACATGGGTTTCCTTGTAAAAATGTCTGGTGTGGGTGGATGAATATACCTATGGTGTTGTTTTGCTTATATGTTGTTTTTATTTCATTTATGTATTTTATTTTAACGAAGTGATTATTCACAGAGCTGTGCGGATCGGTGAGCCCAGCCCTAGGCCGGGGTACCGCGCTATATAAGACCACTTATTATTATTATTATTATGATAACAGCTACAATCTGTACTATAATTGTCAGCTATTATACTGGCAATAATCATATTTATACTTCCACAAACAATGATATTTTAGAACCTATGAATGATTTAAATTTATACGCAAAACTTTATGTTTTCAGGGCTTGTTTAACTTGTAAGAAAACTCATTTTTAAATCAAACATATTGTTTTTATAGTAATTCCCCTTGCAGCAACAAACATTGGAAAAAAAGAAAAAAAAATCTATGAGAGTAATCATTGTTAAGTAAATAGATATCAAATTATTTTCTAATACTATTTAAATATAATTAATATTTCATAAATAATATTTTTACACTTAAAAATGAAATTTTATGGACACTTTTATTATTAAAATAACAAAAAATTACTATTTTAAATGGGGTATTGCACCCTTTTATAATAATTTTTTGAAAAGTAAAAGAAATAAATGAAGAGTCCCCAACCGGAAGAAACACGTAGATCATTAGACCGGTCTGTTATTAAAAGAGAGCATACAGTAGAGTTATTGAAAGTCTGAAAAACATGGGTAATTAAATAATACAATTAACAAATAGTATTTAATATATAATTTAAAATAGTATAGTTTCTTTCTTTTTTTTTGTAATGGGGGGGGGGTGGGGGGGGGGAACAATTCATGATGATATTTTTAGTAAAAGTAGGCCTAACGTTAAAATAGTATTTAATATATAATTTAAAATAGTATAGTTTCTTTCTTTTTTTTTGTAATGGGGGGGGGGGTGGGGGGGGGGAACAATTCATGATGATATTTTTAGTAAAAGTAGGCCTAACGTTAAGTATACAGTACAGTGTACAGTAGATACTTTGATAACAAAATTAAAACTTAAAAAAAATAAACCAATGACATAGTTGAATAGAGCTAATTTTTAAAAGAATTATAACACCAAAATCATATTTTTAGCTGTTGTAGTTTTTAAGTTATGAATTTTTAAAGTACGACTTAATTTGTCCTTTTTTAACATGGACCACATCTCCACATTCTGTGACCCAATTCCGCTGTTCGCGTCATGAGCTTTATAACTCTTCTTTTAATGATAAATTTATTTTCAGAACTAATGCTGTATTAAAAAAATAAGTTTAATAATGTTAACAATTATAGATAAATTGTAGCTTATCTAACTATGCATTGTTTCTATCATAATGTATTAATATATGGCTTTTCTGTTCACCAAATCTACGACGTCCATTATACCAATATTTGCTATATAGTCTATATAAGGCAACTCATGCCTTAATTACGAAAATACTGTTTGGGAACTATTGAACTCTCAACTTTGTTACATGACTAATTAATTAAAGCTTTCCCTGACCTAGTTGAATAGTTTTTGTACACGGCAAACTTTGATGAATGAAATCTCTGAAATAGTAGTATATAATAGCCCTTATGCAAGTCACTGTGAATGGCTGCCATGACATTTTGCACACGGCGAATTTTGATCATAATCATGTATAATATGGACTCTACCGGGTTTTTTAACCTCAAATTAAAATATTATTCTTTCAAAAAAATTTTAATTCATTCTAAAACATAAGTTATGAAATATTTTGATGTAAATAGTGGAAATAATTATTTATTTCCTAAGTAAAGGCGTCTTCCGCCACTGAAAGGGGGCGTGGCCACTTCCCAATCGAAATTGGGCTGAGCTATATTACCATATAGGGGTTCACTCAAGTGAGCATAACAAGTGATCGACATGTCCTAACTCAATGAGAATTGACACAAATACACATTGATAGATAATACAGAATAAGACTTTTTTTTAAAGACATAAAAGTTAAACTTCTATACGAATTTTATAGTGAAAGATGCCTTATATTTACAGGGGAATCTCAAAATACAGGTCGATTGAAAAATTTAAAAAAAAAGCAATGTAAATGTAGGCCAACATGTCTACCTAATTATAAGGCCGGAAACGGAACTCAAATATATATAGAAAGCACTCATTTAATAATAAATAGACACACACATCGGAAAATTAAAAACTCGGATTTTTCTGCGCCGATTGCCATTTCCGATACACAATAAGTAGTAGCCTCCCTTGGTTTACCGAAGTATCTATACAGTAGTACTAGTACTACTAGGTACTTTAATACTATACAAATTTTAAAAAAAAAACAAATGAAACCAGAATCAACTTTTTAGCTTAAGTACTTTTTGAGCTACGAATTTTTAAAGTGTGAGTTCGTTTGGTATTTTTTACTAGGCAGTGTCTACACGTCCGGCGCGCCGGACATATATCTCCAGCACTATTTGTCCGGCGACCAAGTCACATGACCGCCGTAACAAAGTGGCGAGAGATATCTTGTCTCTTTCAGCCTTGTCACGTGACTGTGAATGATTCAAAACTATTGTTAATTTTAAAATCTATTTCTCTACCAAGTAATGTACTGAGTATCTTGAATGCAAATAATAGAAAAACAACTTAAGTGAAAGTGGCTTGCAAACATTTTTGTTTATTAGTTTGTTATTTGAGTTTGTGCACCAGTAATCCATAAAATAAATTAGGGGCCAGTGTGGAGTAGGTAACCAATAAAAGTAAAAGATTTCATTTTAAATTGTTACAAAATATTTAAAAACTTCTCATGAAACTACTGTTGATGATGAACATAATAATATAAATATAGTATAAAATATTTTACATTAAAATGGGAGTAAATAAAAATGATCCTATCCCCGGTATTGATCCTCACATCATAATATCGTCAAGCGACCACTCTACCACTAAACCACACAAGATCTACAAAACTGTATTTTGTTCGAAATTATAAAAATACTAGCCATACGGCGGTCACGTGACATACCGCCGGACGTATATCTTGCGCACTATTTGTCCGGCGCGCCGGACGTGTAGACTCTCCGTTTTTACTATGGACGAAACCTCCACATCTTGTTACCTTATTCCGCTGACTGCATCATGCGCATTGACTATATACTTTATATAAGGCAACGCATCCCCTATCACTAAAATACTGTTTATGGTCGACTTAGTTTAAACTTTCAACTTTAGCACATGAATAATTAATTAAAACTTTCCCTGACCAATGGTTTAATAGTTTATGCACATGGCAAACTCTTATGAATGAAACTCTGAGATAGTACTACGATACAGCCATTATACAAGTGGCTGTGAATGGTTGCCAATGACAACGTGTTCTGATCATTTAAAATATGGACTCTACCAGGTTTTTAAAGCTCAAATTAAAACATTCCAGTTCAAATGTCTTCAAAATGCATTCTGAAACACAAGTTATCAAATATTTTGATGTAAATAGTGGTAATAATTTAATATTTCCTAAGTATCAGCAACTTCCGCCATTTAAAAGGGGGCGTGTCCCATGCCATGTCGAAATTAGGCTGAGCGAACTGCTGACCTGCTGCAAACCCGTAGAAACATGGCGTCTCTCGTAAAACACATATCGCTGTGAAAATTGGCATTCATACATGTAGATCAATACATGCTCCAGATGCATAAAAAATTTGGTAGTGACATGTCTTTTACTTTAACTTAATTTTAATGGTTGAAGTTGCCTTATATTCACCAAGGATTTTCAACTAGCTGACCACTCCACGTGCGGAAATTTTTTTTTTACCGACATCGTTGTTTTGCAGATTTCTAATCACTTAGACGGTAATTACACGACCAGTTGCGAATCTGCAAATAATGCTGAGCGTTATCTGCAGACAGTTGGCAGACTGAATTCTTCAAATAACGGCGACCGTATTTGCAGAGCTGTGCCAATAATCACTTCAATTTATAATATGGACCTAATTAAATCCATTTTACTAGGGGGGGGCGGGGGGCGTGAGGGGGATCAAAGTCTGAAAAAATGTTATCCAGCTTCTTCTTTGCCACGGCCAAAGTAAGATGTGCAGTAAAAATAAAATCCAGCTGTAAACATTTTATGTGTGCTAATTATTATGATTAAAATTATAAATTAAAATACACGCCTAAATAATTACCGTAAGAAGTTTTACTGCATACAAAGTTTCATATGAAAAAGAACATCTTGTATTAAATATAATAACATGTGATTAGGCTTAATGATGATAAAATAAGCTTAGGCCAATCATTGTTTAGGAACATGGTCACGTGAGCCAACACACACACACCCACACCCCCTTTTCGATTTTCTGTTGTTGGGAGAAATGTATACTGAGTGTTATTTACATAAATGAGCCCTAGTTTACTTATAAAGGCATCAATATTTTTATGTACAATTAAACAATTTCATTGGGTATATTGTGCAACTATAACAAAAATTAATCAATTTAATGTCTAGGAAACACTACTATTTATTCTTTAATGCAATGCAGAGTATGCAGAATCAATGTTTAAAACTGCACATAATTTTGATGAAAACTTAAGCAGTTATGCATAAATAAAATAAAATATATACAAAGAAAGAAAAATTAGTGTATTATGTCTTGAAAATCCGATTGGAGTGAATTTATGAGACTAGACACAAACAATAAATTAAATTTTGTTGGCACATGTTTTTTCTTTGGCAACATACATACTTTAGAGTGATTTCAGTGTTGTAATCCAAAATAGATTATGACCAATGTCATAATTAAGCTGCGCGGCCGTGCAACTATCTCAGAGACTCCGTGCAGTAGTTTTGAGTGTCCGCACAGCAAATTCCCATGTAAGTTTGTATCTGTGGGCTGTAAAATTTTGCACACAAAAAAATTGATGCTGTAAAACTTTGCACACAACTGTGTGATTTTGCACACGAACCAACAAAGCTTAGAGGGAACATTGATTATGACTACTAATAATTATTGCACTACATCAATCTATCACCAATCGGTAGGTTTTTTTTACAGTAAACTACCAATAGCCGCTTAGAAGCTACTCGTAGTGGAGTTCCAATAGCTCTCTTAGAAGCTATTAGTAGTTTACTACAAATAGCTCCCTAGTTTACTACTAATAGCCACAGCCTAGTAATTATTAAGTTAGTTACTCTTACACTCTATCTTCTCTCTTATACTGACTAGTTTTAGTTTCTAGCTAGGCTAATTTCTTTTGTATTTGTGGGTGTAGCTAGACTAGCGTTTTGAAGTGTTAACTCCTCAACTATTTATCACTGTGAGTGTGTACACATACACATGAAAATTGTAATTTTGTGTTTGTTTAGACACCTCTTAAAGCAAGGGAGGCTACTTCAAAATTTATTGGAAATATACGCCTGCGCAAAAATTTGAGTTTTTAATTTTTGGATTTTCATCCTTTTTCCTTGATAAAAAGACTATTTTATCATAAAATTTTGTTATCCTTCCACACGTTATAATGTAGTGGGCATCTTGACCTACAAAGTTTATTTTCCAGTGGACCCAACTTTGGGAAAAATCATTGGTCGTTACATGGTATCTTTCCATGTTAGCTTTTGTCAAAATTGAAAATATACCCCTTTCATTTTTCGATTCTGACTATGTACATTAATATTAGGCCTACATGTATTGCAATTTTCAAAGTGATATATTTTTGACAAGAGATTCTTTGATTTTTATTAGTGAGCTGGGTTCATATATTATATAGATCCATATTTTGACATTTTTTCATGTTTTGATTTAAAAGTCCAAATTGAAAATATACCGCATTTATTTATTTCTATTCCATAAAGACCAATTTTAAAGGCCATTTGGTTTTTTACAGGAGGCACATTGATTTATTTTTTTAATGAGCAGGGTGATGCTTGACTTAGCTATGATAGCTTTTGACCGCCCCCCTTCATAATGACCAAATAATTTTTTTAATGTATTCTATTTATTTAATTTGAGTTTAGGCCATTATCAATGTAAATATGTTTCAAATTTTGTTTAAATAGTATTGAAAGGCAAATATGGGTCTTGAATCATAGCGTCACATTCTTACAATTAGCAATGTATGCAACCAGGGCCGTCTTAACAACATAGGAGGCCCTGGGCACAGCAATGCACCGGGGCCCCCTAGCAACACAAAACAACTTGGCTGTGCGAAGGGGGGCACTCGCCCCATGCTCAAAGGGGGGGGGGGGGAGCAAACAGTTCTGCTCCCCACCAACTCATCAAGAGGAATACAAATTTAAAATAAAAATAAACATTCAATAAAGTTAAATTCAATAATAATCGTTACCAGGGCCGTCTTAACAACATAGGAGGCCCTGGGCACAGCAATGCACCGGGGCCCCCTAGCAACACAAAACAACTTGGCTGTGCGAAGGGGGGCACTCGCCCCATGCTCAAAGGGGGGGGGGGGAGCAAACAGTTCTGCTCCCCACCAACTCATCAAGAGGAATACAAATTTAAAATAAAAATAAACATTCAATAAAGTTAAATTCAATAATAATCGTTTTCGTAATATAATATAATATTTGTTAACAATATGTAAAGCATGATGCCATTATAAGAGTGAGTCTCCTTGAAACGTGGAGTCCCCTACAAGTGAGGGGCCCAGGCCTATGCCTTAAGACGGCACTGTGTGCAAGGCTGTCATGGGCAAGATCTTGTGTCATGATAGTATAGTATTTAAGCTTAGTCTGTTTTTGTGAATTTCATTCATAATTTTGAACGCAGTGTGCAAACAATAGGTAGTTATTATTCATGTGCAAATTTGAAAGTTAGCTTTTTTTATGGAACACTTTGCCCATTACAACTCATTGTGTATGTCATATAGCCTTATATTAGTTAATAGAATAGCCTCTCAACACTTAACTGGTAATGGATAATACAAAGTGATAATAGTGAGATAAGCTTCAACTTACTTATTTAATGTAGCACAGAGTATACATGATTTGTTGATATTTCTTGTGAATGAAAGTTATTGTATAGATTAAATCCTCAAAACAAAATTTTTAAAAATTATAATTAAAACACTAGTTATAGCGGATTGACAAAAACAGTCAAATCGGGTCACAAGGTTCAAAGGGTCATTCCATTGTAAAAAATTTACAAACATGCTCAGACTTAAAAAATTCATTTCATCAATATTAAACTACTAAATGTAGAAAGTTGATTCTGGTTTCAATTTTTTTTTGAAGTTTGCTCTATAGAGCAACAGTAATATTTATTTTTAAAAATTGGAATTTTTTTTTTTTACTAAAGTACCAAGTTTTTTTAATGTCTAATCAAAATGATGAACTGTCACTACCTGAGCCTCTCATTAGAGAAACATGAGTGTCTTAATAACTGACAATGTAAGATGTCCAAGTTGTGATATTGAGTTAAATTCAGTATGAAAGTTTTGTTTTTATATTAAATACTTCCTAACTGCTTTTAATCACTGTGCCATTCAAGTCATAAAGAAAATTTGGCGGCAAGTGTATCAACCATAAAGGAAGTCTGCAAAAACTATGTGTCTCTTATGCCCCCTCCATCCTTGGTCTTGTCCACACTTGTCTGCATGTGGCTTACCCCTGAGTTTGTGGACGTCAACATACAGAATATTGCAGTGCAAATTGCCATGAAGTTTAATAACTATTTTATTGAGTAATAAAGAGTTACTAGACAGCTTGCTCCTCTGCAGACATGCATATTCTGTCCATCCCTGAGACACGCACTAAGACATATGGTGAACGATCTTTCTCTTTCTGCGCCCCAAAACAATGATCACAAATTCTCTGTCACTACACATCTGCAATATACCAACCACACATGCCCTCAAAACACATCTCTTTAAACTCTACTACCCTGACTGATTCCCCCCTCTGACCGATAAATGACACTGCTGGCTGCAGTCCATGGCTTGACATGTAAAAGTTCTGGGGTGGATGGGGGGAATAAACATTTGTTTTTTTGTTATACAGCTGTTCTTTAATACATAAGTGTATTTTATTTTAATGTCACAATCATGTCTCTTTTGCTAATATGTTTATGTACAGGGGGGTGAGCCCAGCCCTTGTCTGGGGTACTGTGCTATATAAGACCACTAATAATGATAATAATTATAGATTTAAACTTCAAAAAAAGTGTAAGTGTGATAATATAAATAATTTGATTAAAGTTAACCAGACCTGAAAATTAGAGAACATTTTTTTATAAGCCCTAACTTGCCTTGTTTACATCTGTTGATAAACATAAATTGCAAGCAAATACAGCCTTAGCCTCAGATCCATGATCATGGCATGTTTCTGATTAAAAATAATAATTTCCTTTTTCGTTTGGTCTCAGATGTTAGAATTTATTAAGAATTTTTTCTCTATGCATCCATCTAGGCTTTGATCAGATGCGCAAATTTAATGGTTGTGTAAATGCAAATTTTTTTAAAACTAAGTAACACTACATCACTTACTCGTTGCTCAAAAGGGTGTTAAATGTTTGAAGGGTCATTCTGTACATGTTCAGTTTTTATATCTTCAATTAAGGTCCATTTCGTATATTTGTGCATTAAATGGTGACACAAAAGTATTATTAAAACATACATTATGTTAAGTTTTACATGATTTCAAATATTGCAGTATTTTTTTAGAATATATTCAGTTTAAATCAAGTGCTTACTGATTTTATTATTTTTTTTAAAGAAGGGGTAAAATCAGATTCAAACTCTTCTTAATTCTGGAAATTTTTTTTTATTCTTTGATTTTTTAGACTTTGTTTCCTTTGCTATTTTAAGATTATTACTTCATTATTTTCCTTTTTTAAGTTATTAAATTTGTTTCAATTTATTCACTGTTAAAACTTTGTTGTTTTTTTCCCCAGGCCTTTCCACTGCACCTTCCGCTGCAATATCATTTCTATTAAGCATTTTAGTGTTTGCTGTGATGCAGATATTTAAAAGTGACTTAGGATCCAAAGAGTACTTTACGGTGGCTGGAGGATTTATTGGCTCAATATTGTTCATCACTTTGCTAACTGTATCCTTTCATGGAATTTCATGATAAATTTCATTACAATGAATTGATTTACTAAATAATAATAACATTACACAAAGTAAGGTATATAATAAACATTTGTATTTATTTTTATTTAATTTTATTCACAATTTGTGGATGAGTAATAGTACCTCATATTTGAGCTGAGAAATGGAATCATCCAACAGCAATCAGTATTTTACCGTTGTTGTTAATTCCTAGTTATTGTAATATTACAAATATTGTGTGCTTACAACTTTTACAGCCTGAAGTAGGTTAGAAGTAATGTATGACCTTAAAAACAAAAGGCCAGCCTATGTCAGGGGTGAGGCAGGAGATGGGCTAATAATACCCAATACCTGTGGCTGCTTTAAGGAATGAAAGAGATAATTTGTGTTTTTGTTTTTATTATTATTATTATTATTATTGTTAGTTCCTAAAAAGATCACGTTAAAAATAGTTGAACATTCTCAGTTGTTATTAAAATAATGTTTCAGAATTTAGAATTTTCCTTCATTTGATTCTAGTTCACTAGCAATGTTGAAACACTAGCTTTTGGAAAGGGCTTCCAGACTAAACTTTTTCCTGAAGGTAAAAAAACAAACTATTCATTTGAATTAACTAATATACATTTTTGTTTTATTGACAATTATTTTGCCATTTAGCATCTTAATTTTTTTTAATCTAATTTAAATTTCATCATCCAGTTAACATGTGACATAACATTAATTCCACCTAATGCACCATAATACTTTTAAAAAATTTACAACTTCATAATTTTTTAAATTTTATTTTTTTCCCCAGTTATTATTTGTTTATTCCTTGCAATGTTTGCTTCGGCTTTAGTTCACAGAGTCTGTGTAACAACCTGGTAAGTACGCTATATTTATTATAACAGTACACACAAATCTATGTATAAAAACTCTTCCTTAATTTATAGACTGTATCATCTTACAAGAAGATTTAAAGGTGATCAAGTTAATGGATGCAAAAAATAATATTTTTTTTATATCCTTTCAATCCTGTTGCATCTCAAACATTTTAAAATTCCCTTTTAAATTATCCTGACAACGGTAACATTTATATCAAACAAAATATCATAGTAATTATTAAATCTGTTCAATGTATTAATGTTATTAGGTATTTAATGTCTTCTGTACAAATTGGAAAATCTGAAAAATCTGAATTATGTGTTAAGAGAGGGATGGTGGTGCTATATGTGAGCAATATGTAAGATTGTATTACATTCATGTTTTTTTGCCTGTTTGTCTAGATAAACTCCACTCCCATTATTACATTCAAAGAATAAATCACCCCATTTAATTTTTAATGTGGAAAATAATTTTTACAAAGTGATTTTACAAAGCAATGGACCATTAATACAAATTACCTTTTCTTAATTTTTGTTGAATGAAAACGGAAATAAAATTTAATTGGAGTAAAAAGTTTGAATTTGAAGCTAAATTAGGACCATAAAGCAAAATAATACCTGTGAAAGAATATAATTAACTGATATGTTAAATAATAATCTGACATTCAAAGATATAAAATGATGCATTAATTAATGTATATTTTCAAATATTTAACTTCTCAAGTATAATTCTGAAAAAATATTTAAATGAACTACGGGAGTTCAACTAAAAATAACATGCATTAGGTCAACAATGGGTTGGTTTTAAGGACCAGACCTAAATATAATCTGATTAAAAAGTACCTTTTTTTGGGTCAAACCAGTTATAAAGAGGTAAAGAAAATTTGCTAAATAATTGTTGCATAATTATTTTTCAGTGAATTAATCATGATTTAAAAAACATATTTTTCTGTTTTCCTCTATTGCACCATTTTTTACACTCATGTAGACACTTAGGCCCAAGACCTGTGGGTCTCAAACTTCTTAATCCAGTGGCTCTTTGATACAGTTCCTCATGTTGTGGTGACCCCCCAACCATAAAATTATTTTCATTGCTACTTTATAAATATGTGTTTTCCGACTGTCTTTTTTTTTTACGCTGATGTAAGGGTCTTTTCAGCCCGAAAAGGGTTGAGAACCGCTGCTCTAGACACATGCATAGCTATGTTATAACTTTTATCTATCTGTTCTTTTCCAGCTTAATATTTTCTCTGGTTGCTCTATATTATATCAATCGCATTTCTCAAAATCTTTATGGACCCCAAGTGACAGTGGCTGCCACAAGTTCAACCAAGAAAAGAAAGTAGTTTTAGCATGTTTAGATTTGTATATCCCTTAGAAACATCAAGGCTCAAATTAAATGCTAGGCCAAAAAAACTTAATTACTTAAAATTGCTGTTGTTGGAATATTGTTTGATACTAATTATCAGTAACAAAAATAATGTTGCAATGGAATCCTTTCTGAGCCTAGAAGCTGAACTGTTTTTTTTTCATAGAATTTGAAAAGAAAAAACAATCATCAAATAAGATTTATGGTAGCTGACAATACTTTTAAAAAATATATTGAAATATTTTGACATGGCTGTATGTTTTGATGGCTGGCACAAAAATGTCATGTTGACCCAGCAGTTGGACTTAAACTTGTCATACTGGTAAATTAATGACATAACACAACTGAACTTTATATCCTGGTATGAATGTCAAGGTATAGACAATGAACCAAAGGACCTCAGTACTGGTTGAGTCTATTGAAGATTGGGTCTTTGTAAAATTTTATTCATAGCTACCTGTAGAGATTTGGAATAGATAATGTATTCATTTACATTTAGTTATCTCTTCTCCTTATTTGCGAGTTAAAGATTAATCTTAAAGTTTTCAAATCCAGTGTAAAATAACTTGATGTAGTGGTTAATGAATGAATTGCATGAAAAATGTTAATTAGTTCTTTTCCTTTATGTTTTTAAGGGATAATGTTTATTTAAAAGGTTTAAGTAATGACACAAGTTGTTTGAATTCATCTATTGAAGAATAGTAATAATTATGTCATATGACACATGTATAATTTTAAGATCTTTTGTTTTTATGACATTAATTATACTTAGAATTTTACTTGATGGTTCAAGGTGCTTTATCCTTCATATTTCATCTGTGTTTCACATTCAGTCAAATACAAAATTAATGCGCCAAGTTTTATATTAAAAAAAAATGTATTTTATTTGGCTGCATTTTGTGCTTAATTTGTGTTTATTACTTTGTCAAATTCAATATTTAGGGATAAAATCTGCTGAAATAAATTGTAAGGAAAAAATTGTTTTAAAGTTTTGTTGTGGTTTTATTGTAATGTATTGAATTATAGCGTGTTGATCACGGAAGTCTGACATGACTTTTCAATTTAGGCTGGGCCAGATTGAGACCAACATAATAGCCTATAGCTGTCTTACGTTTATATCCTTGATGGCAGAAAATAAATATAGGATTATAACTTATAAGGGGCTGTCCATTAATGACATCAACAAAATAGGGGGTGACGGGTGGAAGTTACTGGGACTATGTGCTATTGCTAAAGAGGAACATTTGGTTTTTCGATAAAAAGATGAAACAAAAAAACTAACACTTAATTTGCTACGGTACCGGTAACAGTAATATTTAGACCTTATCACGTCTTTAATAACTTATGCAAAATAAAATTGATTCTAGTCATAGTCATAGATTCTAATTGTTACAAATTTAAACATTTGTCTCAGAAGTTTTTAAAACTGTTTTAAATTTGTTGTTCTCTGCCTATTTCTCTCTATATCTTAAGAATAATTTTTTTTAAAAAAGATATATGATTTTATTGATTTTATTGATTTTATTTTCTTGTGGAAAGGGGGGGGGTGTTGTTCAACAGTTGTTGACAGTTAATTAGGGGGGTCCTTAAAAATTTGACGGTTGTTGACAAGGGCAGGGAGATCAAGACGTTCCCAAGGTTTGTTGACATAATTAATGGGCGGCACCTAAGGGGGGATTAAGTTGTTTGGACGCAGTCAGCCGTGTCCTACCCTTGATATTAAAGTATTAAAGGGGCTGTGCATTAACCAAGGGGCACTTGGCCTGTTTCCCTTTTGGTACTGGGGGGGGGGGG